GATATTTTTTTCGTGAACGGCAAACTCCGCTCCAACGATGGTGTGCCGTATGGCTTAATTCACACGTGGTCCAGCCGCATCGTGCAATCTCTATCATTCCTGGTTGTGCATGTTTGGTGAGTGTCGTATACAGGTGTCGCAAACATGCGCAACGAGTGTGCCTGTACGGAAACTGACGGATTGCATAGAAAACACGCGCACGAAGGAACAGCCGACGTGCAGATGATGGCGCGGATACAGCCTTTGTCACATGATACGTCGTTGAACAGAAAAACATAGCCGCCTCTTCCTGGCGGTGTCCAAACATCATAATGGCTACGTGTGCTCCCGCTTGAAACGTCCTTCCAATTCACTCAGACATAAGCTTGCAACGCCATGTTTTATGGTACGTTATTTGCAATATTGTGTGCATTAGTATGTGTAGAGAAAACATATAGAAACACCTATAAGAACATACATATAGCATATAATTGGAAACACGCACACATATATGTATACATATATATATATGTTTATGTATATATATATATATATGAAAACATACATATATACATATGAAACCATACATACGAGTATTTTCCATACACTAATATGCGTATAATATGAATACATACATATAACATGCATATGTATACTTACATACATACCATACATGTATACAAGAATTCGGAACCGGCTTTCTTATTCGGGAAATCGGGCGGGCGCGTTTGAAAGTATTCGCGAACCGGCTTTCTTATTCGGGAAGATGTCATTCGGTGCGCGTGAATTCGGGAAAACCCAAAAAGAAAAACAAGGACCGCAAAAGAATGCGGCACGACAAAAAGATGACGGAAAGGATCCTCTGGGTAGCCGCCTGCGTTCAGGATTTGATATGGCTCCAAATTCCACACATAGGACGTGCTCGGGTTCCCCACCGTTGTCCAGGCGCCGATGCCTACGGCTGCCCACTCCACGAGCTCTGCGACGTGTGTCGCGACAGCATTCGCCTCTTCCACCTCGGTGGTTCTGGGGGGGAGCCCGCAAGGCTGCGTGTTCGACCCGCCTTGGTCCGCCTGGATCTGCCCCGGGCCCGAGAAAATGCATGGCTCGGCAGCGTGGCGACCGACGCAACCTGGAACTCCGGGAGCGTGTGCGGCGCCAGCAGGTGCTTGACGCCGTCGATCGCGACGCGGCACGTGAAATCCAACTTCCCCGGCGATAGCATTATCGCTGCGTTCCCCGCGAATCTCCGAGGTTTCTGGGTCAGCGACCTGTCCCTGGGAATAAATCCAAGAACGCCAACCTGCGGGCGCCCGTCCGCCGCGCGCCAGGGCCGAGGCCCACCCGGGGCGCCATCCAGCCCTCAACGGCGGCGCCGGCTGGTGACCTTGCGGGGCTGGCAGGCGGCGCTGGTGGGTCAACAACGGCGGCGGCGGTCGGTGACCTTCTGGTGGCGGCTGGCGGAACAGAAAGGTCACCCTTTTGGGGCTGGCGGCCGGAGCGAAAAGGGCACCGGCAGGTCGCCGGTAGCCCTGCGCCCCCGCGACGGGCGGCGGCGGCGGCGGCATCTAGGCGAGACCGCAAGGCGCACCGGGCGTGCAGGTGGACAGAAATGCGGCAATGAAGACGATGTTTCTCTGCAGCCCAGCCAGACCTGGCGCAGATGGCGAAGATGGGCTGGCATCCCCCAGAACTCGCGGATCCCTGGTTCTGGCGGGCGCTGGGTCGGCGGGTTCGCCGCCGCGCCACAGACCGGGGACAGGATGAAAATCGGGGCCAAAACTGGCGGCCGGACAGCTCGTCGACCTCGACGCGCAAGCCGCTGAACGCGTAGATGCCGTGCTGGCACAGGCACTGGGTGCCCGAAGCTCCTCCTCCTCCGGCGGCGGCCCGCTTCCTGGGCCTAGTCACCGGCCGGCGCCTTTGCCCGCGGGCGGCCGCCAACGCGGTGGGCGCCGGGCGGCCGGGCAGGAAAAGCTGGACGGCGCGCTGGCGCTTGGGGGGGGCCACGCGTAGGCAGCGGTGTCGCGAAATCTACTGGATTCTGCAGCCTGGGCGCTTCAGTCTGGGCGGCGCGTCTAAGCTTTGTGGCAGGCTGGACTTTCTGATTTCGAAAATGTTCAACCTCCTCGGGCGGGCGCTGCTGAGGCCGCTGATCTGGCGGCAGTGCCAGGCCCGTGGCCCGGCAACTGTCGCGAAGAGGATGCAGCATGCTCTGCGGTGGTTCGTGGAGGTTCTCGCTCTGGACCCTTGCCGTTCCGCGCCCTTGTTGCCGGAGGTCCGTCGCTGTGCTCGGACGCGGAAGGGAATGGGCGAGTCGGCGCTGTCTCCATCGTGGATGGAGGGGCCGTGGAATTCCACCGTGGCAGAGTGCCAGCTCTTGACCATTTCCTTGTACTGATCGGCCTTGCGAGTGCTCTTGTTCGAAGGCTCCGCTTGGCGCGGGCCCAGGGCGGCTGCTTGCCGGTCGGCGGCGCGACTGGCCCCGCGCCCATGCCCCGCTGCGCCGTGCCCACCTGCGGCGCCGGCGGCAAGTCCTGCGCGGCCCCCGTCGAGAGCCGCCACGGTGGCGGCCACTCCTGCCCGAGAGCTGGGGGTCAAGCAAGGGAGCTCCAGGTGCGCCCTCCACCATTGTGCGTCGGAGTCCTCATTGTAGGCAGCGGCCATCAAGACGGCCTGCCAAGGTCGCTCGGGGCCCCAACCATCCGGAGGCTTGCCGTTCTGGACTGCTCGTTCCATCTTCGCCCGTACCTGGTCCCACCGCTCCTCCATGTTGTGGGGCACCACAATGTAGATGGTCCCCCAGTCCCTCGGGAACAGCGCAGCAAGCTGTCGGGCCCCTTCAAGGTAGCTGTCCACCGGGCCCGCCTTCGCGAAGTCGAGCTTCAAGGCGGCGGTCCGGAACACCTGCCACGACTTGCGGAAGCCCTCGAAGTTGGAGGGGCCGAGGATCTTCCGCTTGATGTACTCCCCTTTGACGAAGACGTCGGAGCTGATGTGGAGGAGCGTTTGGATGCGCTTGCCGAAGGGCCCCCAGACGGCGAAGTCAACCCAAGGGGCTTCGTCCAAGCCAAGCTTCGCCGCCAAGGCGGAAAGCTGGAGGGCACTGCCATCATCGTAGTCTCTGGGTGTTCCCCACTTGTCATCGTAGGCATCGCACAACGTCCGGACCTTCTCGGATGAGAGCTCTTGGAACGTGGCCCGACGGCCTTGCTCGAGGACGGTGGAGACCTCGTGCGTAGTGGGCGTGACCACCACTTGCTGCGGCGCCTGTTGCTGGGCAGGCGCCGCCGCCGGCGGTGCCTTCACGGCTGGGGCAGAACCTCCCCAAGCCTTCGGGGTCTGCCCCGCGAGCTCCGCCAGGCGTTGCAAGCCCTTGCGCACATGGCCGCGCTGCAAGGAGGAAAGTGGCCGGACCTCGCCCTCGTCAGTGACAGCGTTGCAGGTGCGCATCGCCGCAACGAGGTCTTCGTCAAACATGTCGAAGATCTCCTCCAACGTAGCCTCCTCCCAGACGCCCCCGATCTCTTGGACGAAGCCTCTGAACATCGACCCGTCCATGCCGAGGCTCCTAACGTCCTAACGGCGGTGGCGATGTCGAGGCTCGGAGCCAGGGGTGATAAGGATCCCCCAGGGGCCGACAAGAGGATCCCTGCCGCGCTTCCCCCGGGGCCACCATTCCCCGGGACGCCAAAAGTTCCCTCGCTTCCTCCGCCAGCCGCGTGGGCGGTAGCCGCCAGCGGCCTCCATCGCTGGGGGGACCAGCGCCATGCCCACCCTCGATGTGTGATGCTGCAGGGCCCGTGTTCCCCTCCAGCCAAATGGCGACGGAGGGCAAGGGAGCAGCACCGTTCCGCCTCCCACCGTTCCCCACGCCCCTGTTAACCACCACCTACGGTACAATGCCATCAATGACCTAGAGGACTCGGCCTGCGGAGACATCACCACTTATGACGACGTGGACTACTGGATGACGGTGATGGCGCAGGGGCTGGTCATTGCAGTGGTGGGCGGCCCACCCTGCGGATCGTGGAGCCCAGCGCGCCATCGAGACGACGAACGGCGAGGCAGGCGGCATCACCCCCTACGCACGGGAAGCCGCCCATGGGGAGCCGCCTGCCTCACGAAGACCGAGAGGCAGCAGGTCGACCACAGCAACGCGCTCATCAGAGCCTACGCGAAGCTGTGGTTAGCAGCCAGGCTCGCAGGCATCCCGTGCAGTCTTGCATTACCTGCGGCCCTGCCTGGGCGGCCGTCGTGACCCAACGCGTTGGAGGCCCCCTGGCTGCAGTGGCTCAAGGGCCTCGAGGGCGTCGAATACCTCGAGCTCGAGCAGGACGGGGGCTGACCATGGGCTTGACGAGGGCCAACATGCGGCTGAGCCAGGAGGTAGGGCGCGAGTCTGACGCCCGCAGCGCCTCCCCGCTCAGAACCTTCTCTCCCTCCTTTTGCCTCTCCTTTGCCAGGGCCGTGGTCGCCAAATGGTCCGGGGACCTGATCCCAGGCTGGGACGCCCGGCCTCTTCCTGAGACCCTCGCCAAGCATTTCGTCCCCCTCGACCCTTGTTCCGAGGCCAGGTGGGATGTTGAAGGCTGGCGACCTGGCTGACTGCCTGAGGTCCTGGGCCCCGTCCCCTGGGGCCTGCTGGCCCCCGCGGCCCTCGGGATCCAGGTCGCCTCCCTGTGCGTAGAACCTGTGGTCGAGGGCGTGGACGCCCGCCCCTCCTCCCTCCGATGGCGATGACGGCAGCAACCACTTCACCTTGTGCGTCGACGTCGCCTTCTCCCTCCGCCACCTGCACGGCCAGACCGAGCAGGCCCGCGGTTGCGCGGGTCAGCGGAGAGAGCGTTGGGTAGGAGGTAGAAACGCTGTAGAGCGCGAAACGAGAAACGAGAAACGAGGATGGAGGAGCAGGAGGAGCAGGATGATGAGGAGGAGGAGCAGGAGGAGGAGGAGGAGGAGGAGGACGAGGAGGAGGCGCAGCGGAGGCGCAGTGGAGGCACAGCGGAGGCGCAGCAGGCCTGGCGGCCGCCCGCCGCCTTCCCGTAGCCGTCCGCGAACTCCTGGAGGCCGGCCGCTCCGCCCAGCTCCCCGATGGCGTGCTCGAAGATGCCGTCGGCCTCCGCCTTCGAGACCTGCGGGGCAGCGAGCGCTCGCCTCGGCGGTGAGCCTTCTCGCCTGCATCATTTGGCACCCTTGATGGGCAACTTTTCCACCACCACTACCATAGGTAGGGCGGAGGAGAAGGTAGGATGGGGAGGTCCTCCTCCTCCTCCTCATCCTCCTCCTCGCTCGCTCACGGCATGTGGATTCTGTTTGTCGGTGCTGCCATTGGCCCCCTCTTGCGGGTGCCGTATGGCACCGCAGGAGGGGACCATTCCGAAAATGGGCCGTTCCGCCCGCTGGTGAGGCCGACGAGGTACGAAAGAGGAGGAGAAACGGACGGGGGCCCGAAAGAAGAGGTCGGAAAAGGAAAAATGGAAGGATAAAGGGAGAGATAAAAACAAGAAGGAATAAAGGGGGGCGGCCACGCACGGCGGGCGAACGAAAAAAAAACACGAAAACGACGACGAAAACGCCGGAAAGGGGAAGGGGAGGCCGCCGAAGAGGTGGAGCTGCGGCGCTGCGGTTCGATCGCGCGCTGGGCACCGCCCTGTCTTCCCCCACCTCCTCCTCCTCCTCCCCCTCCTCCTCCTCCTCCTCCTCCTCCTCCTCCTCCTCCTCCTCCTCCTCCTCCTCCCCCCTCGCCTACCTATGGTAGCTGGTGTGGAACATCGGCCCATCAAACGTAGCACGAACGAGCCCAACAGGTGCACGGGGAATGGACGTCCGAGCGACGGCGAACCATGGTTTCGAATTTTGCCCCGGGTTTGGTTCCCGGCCGCCAGGAGACTGCCCTGGCCAGCCATGCCCAACCGTCGAGGGTCCACGGGGCAGGGGCGAGCGAGGGGGGGCAGGGTGGGAAGGGCCAGGCCTTCTCGGAAGGCTCGGAAGTCCCCTGGCTTTCTCAGGAGTCTTCGGAGTCTCCCCCGACGGCGCAGAAAGCTCCTCAGAAGGCGCGAGGGCTTCTAGAAGTCCCGCGGCCTTCTGAGAAAGCCTGTTCCTTCTCACTTCCCCCCCTCACTCGCCGCCGATTGTCGGCCGAAGAATCGTCAGAGAGACGGCTCGCGGTCGGACGGATGACATCTCGACACAGTACAGTCACGACGCTGAAATGGCCACGTTCGGCTCAGAAGAGGCCCGTTTGTCGGGCCGTTCCTTCGACCTAGGTCGGGGATACCATTAGTGGCCGCACCTCGCTGCGACCAGGAGAGCCCCTTTGTATATTCTTTCGCGTTCCTTGAGTTAGCACGCGACCGCGAGCCCAGGGGGGTAGTTTTGCGTCACGGGCTCGTTTCTGACGGCCCAAGGGAACGATAGCGGGCACCAGGGGGGGCCGAAACCAAGGAGAAACTGCCAAGATTGAAGAAATTACATCGTGGCGGTGAGCCCAAGGGGAAGTCCGGGGGGGGGCGGGCCATCGCAGAAGGCGGCGGGGCTTCTCAGAAGCCCTCGCGCCTTCTGCGAAGTGTCCTGAGAAGGCCGAAGGCCCTCCGAACCCTCTGAGAAGTCCCGCCCCCCCTGACCTCCGCCTGCTCCTCCTCCTCCTCCTCCTCCTCCTCCTCCTCCTCCGCCTCCTGCCTCCTCCTCCTCCTCCTCCTCCTCCTCCTCCTCCTCCTCCTCCTCTCCTCCTCCTCCTCCTCGCCGCCGAGCTCGGCGAGGGGGCGGAGAGCGTGGGAAGTCCCCAAACGGTCTGGTGGCCAGACCACACGGTCGGGGGAAGACGACGGGGCTCCGTCCCCACTGTCGGGGGCCCGGAGCGGTGCGAAGGCACGCCGCGCGGTGGCGTCGGCACCCCAGGACCTCGCCGCCCGGAGCCGCCACCGCGACGCTCTCGGGGCGAGGGCTGGGGACCGAGGGCCTAAGGTAACCCGAAGGGCAATGCGCAAGATGTCGCCGTTTGTTTGTCCAGTCGCAGCGCTTTCAGCGCTCGGGTCTGGGGTCCGTCGTGGGGTGATGGGCTTGGCGGCGTAGTGGTCGTACGGTTCAACAGCTCGACGCCGCGCACGCCTCGTGGCGGCTGCGGCTCCTCGCGCTAGGGGGCAAACGAAGAAGAACCCGAGATGCCTTAGACCATTCACGATCCGCTTGCGTGTTTGTACTACTTTAGCCCTTCGACGCCCCAAGACAACTCACTGAGCCCTCAAGATCGCCCCAAGACGGCCCAAAAGACCCCCAAAAGGGCACCCACAAGGCAAAGGGGGAGGGGGAGCGAGGAAGGAGGAAGAGAACAACGAGGCCGCGGACGGGAGACGGAAGAGACGGAATAGGAGATCGAGGCTGCGGGCAAGGAAGTGTCGTTTTCAACATACACTCCGATTATGAGCCCTGTGTAAACCGAAATAAGTCTTATCATACTAAAGATTTTTATTGCTGTGCTGCAGCCGTAACTAGCTGGATGTATCAATGCGTAGTTTGCAGATTTACAAGCGTATCATCATGTTCGCCTGTCACACTATATACCTGCATGTCCCTCCATTGTAATATGGCTCAGTACAATACATACATCTACACGCGCTGTATGAGTAGGTGCAGTCAGTCTCACAATCGATGTGCACAGCACACACAACACATCGACGACATGTCGGCTTCACTATGTATGTTCATATACGCATGCAAGTAAGATCTAGATATATGTGTACGCATGCACACCCTTATATGCTTCGGGGCAGCCGTAACCCATCGACATGACACCTTCATGCATCTAACATCTGCCCACCGCTTCCACATTACCTCAATACTTACCACCACATCTGTGCATACACATGTATGTATATATATATGTACATATCACGATCCATCCATGTCATTCCCACGATCGATCGGGGCAACCATCGGGACAACCATAGAACCAACCGCCAGGAGCACATCCACGACAACAATCGATATAACAACCATGATAAGCCCCGAGACAACCCTAACCCTCGGGGCAATCGTGGGGACAACAGGCGGGACAACCAAAGCGATCGCCGGCGGACACGGACAACCGCGGGACAACCATCGGGACAATCGTGGCACAACCACGGGACAACCGCGGAACAACCACGGGACAACTCGCGCCACCGCTGGCGGACACGGAGACATGTTGCTCCGTGCCCACCCAGCTAGAGAAGGCCATAACATCTCCGCATGTAACTTACCATGTAATTCGCGATGTGTGTGTGTGTGTGTGTCTGAATATATGGTCGCAGTGTCCCCCCCAAACGGGAAGTCTCGTTGGTCTTTCTGGGGGCGCTTGTTTCGTGGGTGCTCAGTGGCCCTCTCTGTGCTCTAGGCTGACCTGTAGATTTGCATGTCTATGCTTACACACCTGTACAGTTCGATCTGCATGCCGATGCGCATGCCTGTTTTCATGCCGACTTCGATTGCAACTGGACTTGCACTTCGATGTGTGGGGCCGCGGGCCAACCACGGGACATCCGCGGGACACCCGCGGGGCAACCTGCTCCACAACTGGCGGACACCGACACACGACGGGACAACTCGGGACAACCACGAGCGCGCAACTGCCGGCTTACACGGAACCATTTTGCTGTGCCCCACCCCGGTAGGCAAGGACATCGCCCCTCGCTCGCACACATATTCAAGTCACCAACTCGCTCGAAACGAAGCCAGAAAGGATTTCCCGTTTCACCCCCCAACATTCGATGAGACGACGCTTCAACAGAATTCCATGTTGTCGTTGAGCTTTTCTTCTTTGGTTGGCCGACGTATCCAAGGATGATGCGGACAAGGTGTGGGGAAACTTCGGAGGAGCTGTCAAAGGAGGGAGGAGCAGGGAGGAGCAAGGGAAGAAAGAAAGACATAATATATAACCGGATGATCCAAATAATAACGGGCTTTCCCCCCTTAAACCCGGAGGGCTGACTTGCCTGATTAGAAACAGAGTTGGTCGGGGAAAAGGGGCGGCGAGGTCGAACTTCATTATCGCCGGCGGAAGTACGAATGAAAGTTGCTATGTTCCTATGTCGAGTAGCGTATTTATTGTGCATCCCACATCCTACTACTACTTCTTCTCTACCACTATTACTACTACTACGTGTACTACCACGACGAGTAACCCTACTACTGCTACTACGACTACTACTACGACTACAAGTACGACGACGACGGCGACTACTACTACTACTACTACTACTACTACTACTACTACTACTCCAACTACTACTACTACTACTGCAAATGCGAGAACGACCAAAACTACCACTACGACTACGACTGCGACTACGAGGACTACTACGACTACTGCTGCTAGTACTACTACTAGTACTACTACAACTACTACTACTACTACTACTACTACTACTACTGCTACTACGACTACCCGTACTACTACTACTACTACTACTACTACTACTACTACTACTACTACTACTACTACGACTACTACGACCACTACTACTACTACTGCTACTGCTACTACTACTACTACTACTACTACTACGAAGACGACTACTACTGCTAATAATACGACCATTACAACTACTACTACTACTACAAATAGTACGACCACCGCTACTACTACTACTACTACTACTACTACTGCTACTACTACTACTACTACTACTACTACCACTACCACTACCACTACCACTACAACTACTACAAATAGTACGACCACCGCTACTACTACAACTACAACTAATACTACTAGCACTACTTCTACGACTACTACTACTACTACTACTACTACTACTACTACTACTACTGCTGCTGCTACGACTCCGACTACGACTAAAAATGCGATTGAGATGAATACAACTGCAACCACGATTGCAGATACGACTGCTACTATTAGTATTATTATTACTATTGCTACTACCTACCACTACCACGGCTACCACGATTACTACCAGCGCTACTACTGCAGCTGCTACTACTACTTCTACTACTACTACTACTATTACTACTACTACTACGGCGACTACTACTACTACCCCCACGAATGCTACTACTACTACTACTACTACTACTTCTACTACTACTACTACTACTACTACCACGACTACTACTACTACAACTACTACTACTACTACTCCTACTACTAGTACTACTACTACTACTATTACTACTACGGCTACTGCTATTTTGACGACAACGGCCACGACTACTACTACGACTATTACTACGACTACCACGACTACTACGACTACTACTACTACTACTACTACTACTACTTCTTCTACTACTACTACTACTGTTACTATTACTATTTCTACTACTACTACTACTACTACTACTGCTACTACTACTACTACTACTACCACTACTACTACTACTACTTTTAGTAACCCTACGACCACTACTACGACGGCTACTACTACTACTACTGCTACTACGACGAACTACGCACTTCATACTACATACTACACAGATTTCTGATAATACGTATACTACGACTACTCTTCCGACGACAACAGAAGTTGATTATTCCCCAGGAAATTGTCAATGGACGCCTCGCACCGTGAGATCCTGGACGAGTGCACTTAACACAAACTGCACAACAAGAACACCTCAGGTCTGGCGCCTCCCTCTCCTCTGAACGCGGGTTCTGGCACCTCCCTCCCCTCTCCTCCCCTCCATCCTCTCTCGCCCTATCCCCTTTCCCTTTCCACCACTTAAAACATATTCGACGGCGGATACGAGGAAGACTACTACTACGACGACAACTATTACTACCTCTACGCATGCGGCTGCTGTCTACTGCTACTACTTCGTGCAGGCATAGCCGCCTGTCCTGCGCGGCAACACCCTCTTGGAACAGCCACCACTACTAGAGCGACTACTACAACAACAGCAACAACTACTATTACTACTACTACTACTACTACTACTACTACTACGACTACTACTACTGCAACTACTAGGACTAACACTACTACTGCTACTACTGCTACTGCTACGACTACTACTACTTTCACTACTACTATTACTGCATATGTTGATACTACTACTACTACTACCACTACTACTGCCGCTACTACTACAAGTACAACTACGACTTAACCTACTACTACTACTACTACAACTACTACTACTACTACGATTACTATCACGACTGCTATGGCTACTAGTACTTCTACTGCTACTGCTACGACCCCTTCTGCCACTACTATTAGTATTACGACTACAAATACTACTACTACTACTCCGACCACTACTACTACGGCAACAACAACTACTACTACTACTGCTACTACTACTACGACTACTACGACTACTACTGCTACTACTACTACTCCTACCGCGACTACGTCTATAAGTAGTACGGCTACGACTACGACTACTACAGCTAATACTGCTGCTACTACTACTACTACTACTACTACTACTACTACTACTACTACTACTACCACTACAACTGCTACCACGACTACTTCTAATACTACTACCCCTACTATACTACTACTAGTACTACGTTTGCTACTCCTACTGCTAGTACGATCACTACGACTACGACTTTCACTACTACTATCACCACGACTACCCGTACTACTACGACTACTAATACTTCTGCTGCTACTGCTACTACTACTACTACTACTACTACTACTACTACGGCGACTACTGCGAATTTCTACTACTACTACTCCTACTACTACAACTTCTACTTCTACTTCTACCGCTACTACTACTACTACTACTACTACTACTACTACTGCTACTACGCATACTACTACTGCTACTACGAATACTACTACTACTACTACTACTACTACTACTACTAGTAGTACTACTACTATTACTACTACTACCACTACTACCACTACTACTACTACTACTACTACTACTACTACTACTACTACTACTGGACCGAGAGCTACGACTACTGCGGCAACTACAAACGCTCTCCGTTCTTCATGGTATTTCTACGACTATGACTACCACGGCTACGACTACTTCTACTACTGCTATTGCTACTACTACTCTACTTCTACTACTTCTTCTTCTACTACTACTACTACTACTACTAGGCCTCCTACTGCGACTCCTACTAGCTCATATACTACTACTACTACTACTACTACTACTACTACTACTACTACTACTACTGCTACTACTAAAACTACTACTACTACTACTACTACTACTACTACTACTACTACTGCTGCTGCTACCCCTACTGCTACGGCTACTACAACAACCGATACGTTTACGACTACTATCACTACTACTACTACTACTACTACTACTACCACTACTACTACCACCACTACTACTACTACTACTACTACTACTACTACTACTGCTGCTACTACTACTACTACTAATACTACTAATACTACTAGTAGTAGTGGTACTACTACTACTACTACTACTACTACTGCTGCCACTACTGCTACTACTACGACTACAACTACCATTACCACCACTACCACTACTACTACCACTACTACTACCACTACTGCTACGACTACTACTACAACTACTACTACTACTACTGCGACTACGACTGCTACTTCTACTACTATTACTACTTCTACTGCTACTACTACGGCTACGACTACGCCTACAACTATTATTACGACTACTACCACTACCACTACTACTACTACCACAACTACTACTAATACTACTGCTGCTACTACTACTACTACTACTACTACTACTACTCCTAGAACGACTACTACTACTCCCACTACTACTTCTACTACAAATACTACACCTACAACTACCACTACCACTACCACTACTACTACCACTACTACTACTACTACTACTACTACTACTACTACTACTACTACTACTTCTACTACTACTACTACTACTACTACTACTACTACTACTACTACTACCACTACCACTACTACTACTACCAACCCATCCTTTCCCAAAAAGCGCCAGAGGATTCCGAGGCACCCCGAGGAAATCATCCCACTCCTGCCTCCGTGCGTACTAGTTGTCGGAGAAATGTACAACCCTCCTCGAACCCGAAACTTCATCCCCTGTGAGCATCAGGGGCGCTCGCTCATAAAATATCTTTGAATGGATATGCGCAGACAGAACTATGGAGAAAGAGAAAGAGAGAGAGAGAGAGAGAGAGACAGAGAGATACATAGAGAGAGAGAGAGAGCGAGAAAGAAAGAAAGCAGGGGAGAAAGAGAGAAAAAGAGAGAGAACAAACAAAAGGCGATACGCACAAACAAAACAGCAAAACTGGTGTGCACTGAAAGGACAAAGGAAGAAGGACGGTGCTGAGGCGCGTCCGACCAGGCCATCTCCGTCCTTGTCCAGGATCTCGAAGATCTGACCTCCAGGGCCGGACGCCCCGGGCTCTTCGTCCTCGTGCGCGTCCTCTCAATGATCGTCCTCTTCCGCGTCCCACTCCTCCTCGTCCTTCTACCGGTCCTTGTCCTACTCCTTCTCCGTCCGGTCCTTCTCCTCCTCCGTTTCCTCTCGCTCCTCCTCGCCCTCCAACTCCACGTCCTTGTCCTCCTCCTGCTCCTTCTTATCGTCTTCCTCCTCCTCGTACGCCTCCTCCTTCTCATCGTCCTCCGCGTCGCCTGCCGCGTTGTTCTCATTGTCCTCCTCTTCACTCTCCTCTCGCTCTGATCCCAGTCATAGCCAAAACAAGAGCAAGGGAAATCAATTTGTCGCCGACGATTCACTGAGACCACACGCTCCCAATGGCACGGCGCCGCTGTGGAAGAATTCACCCCGCGTCGATGAGAACATTGTGGCTGCAACAAAAACGCACTATCTCAGCCCACGTGCGGTTCAAGCACCAGAGAGGCAGCCCACATACATCTCGATACAAAGTCGCCCCCCTCGGTTGCTCTCGACAAGAAACATCGGATCCACGCGTCCCCTCAAGAAGGTCCCAGGAAGCTACGCATCCACCCCGACCATACCAATGGCCTTGCAACATGGCTTCGAGATGCCTGCTACACCGCTGCAGACGCAACTATGCCCGCCACTGCTGGGGAACCGACTGACTTCGCCCGTGCCAGACTGCGGAGCATTACATACACAATCAGAACCTCTTTTAAAATATCAAAATTGGCGCCCCAGCCCGCCCTTGGGTCAGATCCGGCTTTTACGAACTCTCGAAAGACTGGCACTCTTCGAACTGGAACTCCTTGCCACAGCTCTGTGCCTGAGCACTTTTACGAGTTGAGAGTTCTGTCGGGCATGTCCGCCTACATGCGGATCTTGGAAGACAAATACAAAAGAACCAACACATAAACAAACAGAGTCCAGAACTGATCAACATATCGTCCCCCCGACTACTTAAAAAAAGATGTTGGGAAATTCCTCCTGTAGAATTGAATCGGGCGTGTCCCTCTACAGGAGGAGTGTTCAAAAATGGTAAAACAAAAAATCGGGGACGATGCTTTGACTATTGTTGATTAGCTTTGAGTAGTTTGGCAATTGTGTTTTTTGCGTCCAAGCTCCCCCTGTTGGCCCTCGGAGGGGACTGCTGGCCGACCAAAACGTGCGACGCCCTGACTTTGCTTTGATGCGTCAAGAGGTTGTCCCAACACGTCGCAGGACAGGCTCCCGACTTCCCAGACGTGCGGCGCCCAGTGCTGCCAAACAACTCCGTGACCCTCCTCCTCCCCCTCCTCCTCTTCCTCCTCCTCCTCCTCATTCTCCCCCTCCTCCTCCTCCTCCTCCTCCTCGCGGAGGAGTCAGCCTCCCTGGGCGCAACGCCGCCCAGGGTGGCGTGTTTACGCCAGACGTGCGTCCTCTGAGGGTTTCGCCAGCCCTCAGTTGTATCGTGGCAGCTTTGTGGATGTTAAAACGAAACTCCTCCCCCTCCCCCTCCTTCTCCTCCTGGTCCTCCTCCTCCTCCTCCTCCTCCTCCTTCTCCCCCCCTCCTTCTCCCCCTCCTCCTCCTCCTCCTCCTCCTCCTCCACCTCCTTCGACCAGAGGCCGCAGAGCTGCCGAGCACAACTTCGTGGCCCACCCGCCTCCCTAGCGGGCCGCGCGGACAGCCTCAGCCGGGAGCTCAGCAAGCTCACGTTTGCGCCGCTTGCCCAGGACATGCGGCGCCCTGGCTTTGTCCAGCACGCGGTCTCCGCAAGTCCCGACGAGAGGCAACGATATTGGGGGGACTGGCATCTCGGGGGGGGATGCACCGCCCTGGTATCGGCGATACATCGCCCATAGATCGGCGATAGGCCCCCGATAGGAAATCCGCACGTTCCTGGGCAGGCTGGGGCTATCGGACCCCTATCGGCGATCAATGCACGATTGGGGGTCGATGCATCACCCGCTACGCCTATCCCCCCCCTGTCAGCGGACTTCTGCGCGGAGTTCTGTCAATGCAAAGCTCCGAAACGGCGAGTGAAAAACGAATTGAATTTCACGTGGACTGGTGTTTAGCCCTCATTTCTGGCCAGCAAAAATCCGCACGAAATTCGCCTCGAAAAATTCAGACCGAAATTAGCGAAATCCGCTCTGCGATGTTGGCGCCATGACAAGTCCCGACCCCTTCCCCAGGGCCGGCCATTCACCCTGGCTCCGTTTTTGGACGGCCCCGGGGCCCCGCCAGGCCCCCCCAGAGGCCAACACTGGCGAAAGCATCCGCCCCGAATTGTTCACGTTGCGATCAGTCACTGCACCGACCTTGCTGACGTGCTGCAGCGGATCTTTGCGCGGATCTCTGCCAATGCAATGCCCCGAAACAGCGAGCGAAAAACGAAGTGAATTTCAAGCTGATCTTGTTTGCCCCCAAGACATTTGCAAAACAATTCACTTCGAAATCCGGAACGATATTCTCCAGGACACTCCGGGCCCGTCCTTTCGTTTTCCGAAAGATGGCCGCTCTGCGATGTTGGCGCCATGAGATCAGGTCTGGGGTTAGCGCTGACACTCGCTGCGAGAGCCCCGAAGCTGCGCGATGCCATCCCCACCCACCCCCCCGGCCCGGGTCCAGGGTTGGGACGGACGTGTCCCCCTGCAGGCGGATTTGTGAGCGAAAAAATACAAGTAGCCCACAGATGCTCAAAGACAGCCAACACAAAACAGCATAATAGATGACCCGACAACCTATCCACAAATCCTCCCCCTGCTATTTTTGGTGTATGTTTGGCACCTCCTCCCGCGGAGGGGCAGGCCCCACGCAGGCCCGGGGCCGAGGGCCCGCCTCCCCCCGGTGGCCCGCGGCTGCCCGAGGCGGTCCGCCGCTGCCCGAGGTACGCGCGGGCGGCAGTAAGTCGGGCCTGCCCCCCCTGCAGGGGGACGTTCGACGCGAAGAACAAACAAACATAGCCAAAAAAACGATAGTCCAAGAATAGTCTGGGGGCTATTTTGGGGGGGCATTTGTTGGCCTTCTTGGGGCATGTTTGGGGTATTTATTTATTTGTCGTCGAACATCCCCCTGTAGGGGGACACGCCCGACAGAAGCGTGGCAGCAGGCCTGCGCGCGGCGGCGCGCCGCGGATCGGGGATGGACAGAGCCCCCTCTAGTAAAGCGTGGTTCAGTGAAAGCGACCCCGCGCCATCGCTCGGACGTCCATTCCCTGTGATTTTTTCGGTTTCGTGCGCGGTTGTTTCGCCGAATGATCAGGGATGCTCCTCGATGGCCCTAGCCGAGGGAAAAATGCACACGTCCGAGCGGTGCCAAGACCCGAGGCCCAGACCTGGCGGGCGCAAGCCGGGAAAGTCACGGCCACGGCGCCCTCTCGAGCACCGGGAACGGACAATGCACTGACCGGCGTGTCACTGTTGGGGGTTCTGTCCACCCCCGAGCGGGCGGCCCCGCGAGCTGAGCCCCCACAGGCGGTCTAGGCGGCGGTCCCTGAGGATAGGTCGAGGCTCGTGGAGTCGATGCTCGAAGGAGTCATCACGAAGTCGGGGCCGCGCCTCTCGAGAGGAGGCGGGGCAGGGCCACGCGGGCCGCGCGAGGGGCCTGCTCGGGGGCTCGAGGCCCTCCTGCGGCCTCGTGGGCGTGGAGGTGCGGGGGGCCCCGGGCTCCGGAAGCAGGAGCACCCAGACATCATCGCGTCGTATAATCGGCGGTGGACAAACCTCCCTTTAGTAAACCTCCCTTTAGTGAAAAACGGCCTGGGGCCGAAACCGACGGACCTGGACCCGCGAAAATGACGGCCGCGACGCCCTCCCGCGAACCGAAAACGGCCGATTCATTATTCGACGTGTCAGGGTAGGAGGTCTGTCCACCCCCGATATAAGGAGCTCAAGTCGGGGGTGGGCGGGGGGGGGCATCGCGCATCGTCGAGGCTTACGCAGCGGCTGCCCGAGATTGGGCCGGGCGCCTCCCCCGGGCGCGACGGCGCGCCTGCGCGCGGGGTCGCGCCGGAGGGCCCCGCGAAGTGGGCCCCCACAAGTGTTGTGTTGTTCCCGTCGTACGTAAGGTTCAATGGGGCCTGTCCCTCTACAGGAGGAGTCTTCAAGAATAGTCGAAGATAGTCTGGGGACTAGCATGTGGTTTTATGTTTAAATATTTTTGGACGATGTCTCACTGTTCCTTCAAACTCCGCCTGTGGGGGTGGGGGGGGGGGGGGCACGCCCGACCTAAACTTCAGGGCCACATTCCGGACGTAATTTCGAGCACCAGGAAGAGTGTCGAGACAGTGTCGAGCAAGTATCGCCTCCCAGGGCCCGACGCGTAAAAACTCTCCAGTTTAGGTTCTCTCTTGGTGCACGGAATTCTTTCTAGTGGTCGAGGCTAAAGGTAGGTTGGAACATCATAACACACGTGGTCTGGGTGGCTCCGGGCTCCGGAAGCAGCAACACTGAAGGGGCCCTGGGACGCACAAATAAATGCACACACATAAAAACCATCCCCCATATTTCCCCATACTTTCGGGGCTTCTGCCTTCCCCCCCCTTCCCATATTTGCCCATCTTTTCTGAGGAATGGACGATTACTTGTGTCTGTGTGCTTCTTTCCCTCCTGAAGCGCCCAGACACCGTCGCGTCGTAAGTAAGGGACTCGCATCGGAGGTCGTCCGCCACGCTCGGCCACCGAGGGCCTGCGCAGGGCCAGTGGAGACCGCCACGGAACGACTCGGGTTCGAAGAATTGGCCCTGGGGAGGGGTCGGGTCTTGCGGGGACCGCGTGTTGTATTGGACGAGAATCACTCGGTATCGCTCGGACGTCCATTTCCCGTGCATTCTTCGGTTTCGTGCGTGTTTTTGTTTGCTCGATGGTCCGGGATGGTCCTCGATGGTCCCCGCCGAGAAACAAATGCACACGTCCGAGCGATGCCAGGATCAAGGCGCCGCATGTCTGGGATATAGAAAAAGCAAAAACAAGATAACTAGAAACGTTTGGCGCTCAGCGCGGATTCCTCGGATCCGCGCTGGACACCCCTCCCTGGCGCGCGGGGCGCGCCAGGGGCGGCGCCGGAGGAGCCGCCAGGGGGGCCCAGCGCGGATCCAACAAATGTTAATGTTTATGTTTATGTGGTTCATGTTGTGTTTACGTCTATATGTATGTGGCTTTTCTCTTCGTCGAGGGAAGCAGCGCAAACGTGAGCTTGCTGAGCTCCTGGCAGAGGCTATACCCGCGCGGCCCGACACGCAGGCGGGCGGGCCACGACGCTGTGTTCGGCAGCTCTGCGGCCTCTGGTCGAAGGAGGAGGAGGAAGAGGAGGAGGAGGAGGAGGAGCAGGGGGAGGACGAGGAAGAGGAGGAGGAGGGGGAGGAGGAGGGGGAGGAGGAGGAGGAGGAAGAGGAGGAGGAGGAGGAGGAGGAGGAGGAGGAGGAGGAGGAGGAGGAGGGGGAGCAGAGGAGGAGGAGGGAGGAGGAGGAACAGGAGGAGGAGGAGGAGGGGGAGGGGGAGGAGGAGGAGGAACAAAAAGGAGGAGGAGGACGAGCAGGAGGACGAGCAGGAGGGGTTGGTCGAAAAAGGGACAACACAAGCACATAAACTTTCAGAACTCCACGCGGATCTCTTGGGCCTGCCCTGGACGCCCCTTGCGGCGCCTCGAGCGCCGCCCTTGGCGCGCTCCCCGCGCGCCAGGATGGGCGGACCAGCGCCGATCCAGGAAATCTGCGGGAGCTTCCCCTGCTCTGTCTGATCATCAAACTCGTCGACGCCCTCCTCGCCTCCTCGCCCTCCTCCAGTTCCATCTATGGAGGTTTCCCAAATGGAGGTCGAGTAGATGGGGTCGGATGATCGCGCCGCATGGCCGAAAAATCGGCGATGCACTGGAGACGTCGGCGATGCACTGGAGACGTCGGCGAGGAAAACATCGGCCTGGACATCGAGCCGCATCGCTGGTGCATCGGCGATGCACAATACGATCCTCCGACCCCATCAACTCCGGCCGCATTTGGGAGGCCTGTGCCCTCGTCAACCCGAAACGGCGACGGCGTCTGGGGCCGCGACTGGCCATCGCTCGGACGTCCATTCCCTGTGTTTTTTCCCAACCAACCTGTGTTGTTGGGTCCTCGTTTTGAAGAGACGGTGGCCCGCGTCTCCTCCTCTCCTCCTCTCTTCCTCCTCCCCCTCCTCCTCCGCACGCCACTCACACGTTTTGTGGCCCCACAGGGAGCTCCGCCGAAGGTCCCAGTGGGTGTGCCCGCATGCGTCCCGCACACCCATTTCGGCACACCCCTCACACGTTTCGTGGCCCCACGCGGAGCTCCACCGAAGGTCCCAGTGGGTGTGCCCGCATGCGTCCCGCACACCCATTTCGGCACACCCCTCACACGTTTCGTGGCCCCACACGGAGCTCCACCGAAGGTCCCAGTGGGTGTGCCCGCGTGCGTCCCGCACACCCATTTCGGCACACCCCTCACACGCTTCGTGGCCCCATAACGAGCCGCACCGAAGGTCCCAGTGGGTGTGCCCGCATGCGTCCCGCACACCCATTTCGGCACACCCTTCACACGTTTCGTGGCCCCATAGGGAGCTCCACCGAAGGTCCAAGTGGGTGTGCCCGCATGCGTCCCGCACACCCATGTCGGCACACCCTTCACACCGAAGGTTGTGCCCGCATGCGTCCCGCACACCCATAGGTTTCGTGGCCCCATAGGGAGCTCCACCGAAGGTCCCAGTGGGTGTGCCCGCATGCGTCCCGCACACCCATTTCGGCACACCCCTCACACGTTTCGTGGCCCCACACGGAGCTCCACCGAAGGTCCCAGTGGGTGTGCCCGCATGCGTCCCGCACACCAATTTCTGCACACCCTTCACGCGTTTCGTGGCCCCACACGGAGCTCCACCGAAGGTACCAGTGGGTGTGCCCGCATGCGTCCCGCACGCCAATTTCGGCACACCCTTCACGCGTTTCGTGGCCCCACACGGAGCTCCACCGAAGGTCTCCGTGGCGCAGTCCGCACGCGTCTCCCCCACCCAGTACACCCCCGTCGGAGGCCGTCGGGGTTCCGCGCCTCCCTCGCCCGTCGTCGCTCTGCCCAGCGGCAAGAGCCTTGCCCGCTGTCAGCCAGCCAGCTAGCTCTCTTTGCTGCGCGCAGCGGACGACCCGCGCGCGTCGCTGGGACCCCTCCGGGGCGACCTCCGCGCGTCGCTGGGACTCCGCGCTGCGCTGCGCCCGCAGCTTTGGACTTTTGAGTGCACGGGCAAAGAGGGAGTAACAAAAAGGGGGGGAAACGGGCGCGATCCTCGCGGTGGCGTCGCGGCGCGCGGGCGATGCCGTCGGGGAGTCCCGGGGAAGCTCCTTACGGCGGCCACGCCCAGCGTCACGAGTACTCAGAGGCAGTCATTCACAACCTATTAGCATTCATATAGAATTGCACGATGCATTGGCATACTCGCATTTATGTGCGTACACTCGCTCGCACGCAATTTCATTCACAGTCAGACGCACTCGCGCTCAGATTCACCCGCGCTCAGTCTCCCTACGTACTCAGATCAATCGGTTTCGTTCGCGTCGTGTACCACGCCATTCATTTCGGCACACCACTAGCATGGTTCGTTGCCCCATAGGGATCACCACCGAAAAAGGGAATCACAATTGCGGTACTCACACCTGCATATGGTTGGGTCCTTCGTGTGGCTAATTTTCGGTTTCGTGCGCGGTTTTTTCTCAAAATGATCAAAGATGCTCCTCGATGGTCCTCGCCGAAGGAAAAATGCACACGTGGGAGCGATGCCAAGGCGAAGGGACCGCCGACCTCCAGGGGAAGACTCGCCGTTGAACTGAACGGTGCCGAACTCCTCGACCTGCGGGGGGCCGAAGCGCTGCCGTCGTCGTCGTCGTCCAGGCTGTCGTCATCGTCGTCGCCGCTGTCGTCGAACCTGGAGCCAAGGGAGGAGGAAGGGTCCTCCTCCTCCTCCTCCTCCTCCTTCTCCTCCTCCCCCCTTCAGCGCGCAATCTCCGTAATCCGACCCCGGGTAGGAGGAGAACAGGGACGGAGGTTGATGAGGCAGAACAAGTTCAGATGTACTCCGTGAATCTCCGAAAAGTCCTCGGAGATGTCCTGGGAGGGAGGGCGGAGAGGCGCAGGAGAAGAAACGCCAGAGGGGCCATAGAAGCCCCATCCGAACGCGGTGGCCCACGATGCGCGCAAGTGGCCCGAAAGCGCCCCGTTTCCTCCTCGTACATAGGGGGTTACGTGCGAACCCACGAAGTGAACCCCACCCTCCCCCTCAGAAATCGTGGGGGGTATGGGGTATGGTTCGCATGTGACCCCCTAGTACACGGAGCGAGCGAGCCACGGACATTCTTGCCAGGCACGGGCGCAGGCAGAAACTGCGAACACGGCTCTGCGCGATAAGGCGGCATTCCTTGGCCGCCGAACGGGTCCGCTGAGCTACGCCGGTGAGAGGCCAGCGCGCGCGCATTCAAGCATGACGAAGCACACGCACGCACGCGCACGCCACTTCGACCCTCCGAGGTCGGAGCGCGTGCTGCCCCCCCAGAAGGTAGGGCGGAGCCGGGGCAGGGACAACATCGGACCGGGGCAAATCGGGGGAACTCTGGGATCTGGCGGTTCTGCACGATGTATCGGGCGCCCCGGCCAATCCAAAGCGTCCAGAAACCAATCTTGGGCCTGACTGGCCTTCTCCTACTACTTCCTGACTCGCATCTGCATCCTCCTCCTCCTCCTCCTCCACCTCCTCCTCCTCCTCCTCCGCCTCCGGATAACCACCGGATTTTGATACCCATCGTTTTGATATCCTCCTCCTTCCTTCTCCTCTTTCTCCTCCTCCTCCTGCCTCCTCATCCTCGTCCTCCCTCCTCCTCCTCCTGACTCCCCCTCCTCCTTCTGCCTTCTTTTCCTCCTCCTCCTCCTCCTCCTCCTCCTCCTCCTCGGCCCGCCCGAGAAAAACCGCCGAAAGCCAAACTGTCTGAGCTCCGGGCCGCCCTCCGGGCCGTGCTGCCGATCTCCTCCCGGCTCAGGTAGCCGTCCCCGTCCCTGCGGGCGCTCTCGGCGGAAGAGGCAGGGGGAGCAGGAGGATGAGGAGGAGGAGGAGGAGGATGGGGAGGAGGAGGGGATGGAGGAGGGGGAGAAGCAGGAGGAAGAGAAGGAGGAGGCGGAGGAGGAGGAGGAGGGTGAGAAGGAGGAGGAGGCGGAGAGGAGGAGGAGGGGGAGAAGGAGGAGGAGGAGGTTGAAGATGAGGAGGAGGAGGAGGATGAGGAGGAGGGGAGGAGGAGGAGAGGGAGGAGGAGGAGGAGGAGGAGGAAGAGGAGGTGGAGGGGGAGGAGGGGGAGGAGGAGGAGGAGGGGGAGGAGGAGGAGGATGAGGAGGAAGGAGGAGGATTGATGAGCGGAATGAGGATGAGGATGATGAGGAGGAGGAGGAGGAGGATATAGGGGGGGAGGAGAGGGGGGAGGAGGAGGATGGAGGGAGGATGAGGAGATGGATGAGGAGGGGAGGAGGAGGAGGAGGAGGCAGGAGGCAGGAGGCAGGAGGAGGAGGAGGAGAAAGAGGGGGGACGAGGATGGGTTTGGCCGAGGAGGATGAAGGGGCCAAGGGTCACACAAATGAATAGACACAAATCCCTTGATTCCATCTCTGTTCCAAAATGTTCTGGATTGTCTGGTGCCCCTCCACTTCCCGCAAGAAACCATATATGTTCTTGGGATCGGCGTTGTTATTTGTGTCCGCGTCTATGGAACCGTCACCTCCTGAGAGGAGTAGTTCGTACGTGAGCAAAATGGCAGCACGACGAGGGAGGGCCAGGAGGGGGAAGGGGAGGAACATGGTTTCTAGAAGGGAAAAGGGGCTGACATAATTTGTTTGATGTCCGTGCAGGTTTCTTGGATCGGCGCTGGAAAGCCCTCTCTTTATCTTGCATCCTCGGGAGACGTTGTCTGTCCCGTCGCGGCCCTATCCACGTCGAATCCGCATCGAATCCACGTCACCCTCGTCGAATACGTGTCGAATCCGTGTCGAATCCGCGTCGAATCCACGTCAAATCCGCGCCGAATCCGCATCACGCCCGCGTCGGGAACAAGTAGGGGAACAAGAAGTGACATAAACATAAAAACTCTGAGGTCCGCGCGGATTTCTCGGATCGGCGCTGGACTCTCCTCCCTGGCGCGCTCAGCGCGCCAGGGGCGGCGCCGGAGGCGCCGCCGCGGGGCTCCAGCGACGAGAGAAGACACCCCTCTGGGGGACAGGCGAGCCCCCTTCGAAGAGGCTACGCGACTCCCTGGCGGGCGGAGCGCGCCTCGGGGCGGCGCCCCGAGGCGACTCCGGGAGGGCCCGGCGCCGACCGCAGAGATCCGTGTGGACCCTCGAGAACTCATGTTTATGCCGATGTTGTTTCCTCGTCGGAGGAGGAGGATTTTTGTTGACACCCGCAGCCGCAGAGCCCCTCAAAGGGGGCAAACAGATTCGAGATCGGCATTGACCCCGACCCTCTTGTGATCAGGGTGGAGACCTTTGCCCAATCTCGTCCAAACTTCACTCCGAGCGGGCGTGCTGCCAAGGCATTGCTTAGCAAGCCGCCTCATCTGGAGGAGGAGGGAAGGGCTGGATGCAAGGTGCCACGAAAAGCCGTCCAAGAAGCCCCGAGCCCCTCGTGTGCATCCCAAGAAAGTCTCCTTACCCAAGGTATAACTCCCAGGAACGTCTCAAAAACACCGACTCCTTGTGGAGGTCGGCGAAATGGCGTAAGCCACTTGGATCATGTTTATGAAGATTGCTTCTTCTCCGGAGGATGGCGCAAGAGGAGTAGCAGGATGAGCGCATCTAAATATTCGAATGCTCGCAGCCATAACGCGCGTTATGGGGGAGGGCGGGGGGAGGATGACGTGAAGCCCACCACCTCCGTGTGGCTCTGGCACCACTGCGCCTGTGCGCATCACGGCAAACACCAGAGCACGCAGTACAGCATGCAACGCCGCTGCCCCGTGCACCACATCGCCGATTTGCAGTGAGCCTGTCAACGCCACGCTAGGCCGTGGACATATAAGTAGCCCCCCGCAAGCACCGCGGTAGCCTGCGAGCGTCAGAACGGCGGTGCTGGAGGCGCACTAAGGGGGTGGGGGGAGCGTTACGTTACGGGGGGGGGGGCAGGGGAGGGGCATAACGCGCGTGATGCCTCAGAAGATTCAAACGCGCTCGGGCAGACCGCGTGGGATGCGCAGGCAGGGGCGCCAGGTGGCCAGGGGCACAGCGACGGTCCTTCGGGCGGGGCCGACGCCCTGCGGCAGCGCAGACCCACCCCTGCGCTGCGGCGACGACGCGCTTCCCCTTCGGTGGCCGAACTTGTCGCTCGTTGCCCTCGAATGCTCTTACGCGTATGCCCTGCATCCTCTGGCCACCACTGCGCACTGCTCGGGTCGGGACAGGGAAAGGAAGCTGGGAAGAATGGGGGGGAAGAAAGAGGCTGCCCGAGAGGGTGCGGGAACCCACGCGAGCCCGAGATGCTGGGCACGGACGTCCAAGGCCAGGACAGAGAGAACGAGGGGGGGCAGATGCACTGGCCGACAAGGTCTCGATGGGCCTGTTTTCCACCGCCACCACCTCCTCCTCCTCCTCCTCCTTTTCCTGCTCCTGCTCCTGCTCCTGCTCCTCCTCCTCCTGCTCCCACTCCTCCCCCTTTATCCTCCTCCTCCTCCTGCTCCTGCTCCTGCTCCTCCTCCTCCTCCTCCTGCTTCCTGCTCCTCCTCCTCCTCCTCCTCCTCCTCCTCCTCCATTCCTTTTCCTTATAGATAACTCTCCCTGTCGCACGGCGAGGCCAGTTTTTAGGGCGGGCCGGGCGTGTCGCCTGACACTTCCTCACCACTTATGACCCTGAAGCATAGAAAGTGACAACAGTTTCACAGATGGAGGGCGGGTCGTGTTCAAAATGTGGCTCTCTCCCTGGCGCGGCGCACATTCGTTTCAAACCATGTAAGATGTTCACGGGTTGAGGGCGGGTGGTTTTCAAAATGTGGCTATCGCCTTAGCGCGGCGTACATTCGCTTCAAACATTTGCAAGAGTTTCACGGATTGAGGGCGGGTGGTTTTCAAAATGTGACTATCGCCATAGCGCGGCGCACATTCGTTTCAAACATTTGCAAGAGCTTCACGGATTGAGGGCGGGTGGTTTTCAAAATGTGGTCATCGCCTTAGCGCCACGCACATTCGTTTTGAACATGTGAAAGAGCTTCACGGATTCCATGATCAACGTACCAGCAGTAGGAAGGACTCAGGATTATGCGGGCGCAACAGTTATGTTGATTCGCTGTGTTGAAATCCCGAAATGGCGTTCTGGCACGATTCTGGATCGTCAAGACGCAGCAGTCTGGTTGATACGTGGCGTTGCAATCCCGAGAACAATGTTTTGGCAGGCTTCAAGATCTTCAAACTGTTGTTTTCCAACGAGGCAGTTCCCCCAATGGAAATGAACAGCTGCAAGGGCCTATGAAGAGGGAGCTTGGAGGGAGGGCTAATTCCAACAGCGTTGATGACTCTTGGGTTTCCACTGGTCCTCCTCCTCCTCCTCCTCCTCCCTCCTCCCTCCTCCCTCCTCCTCCTCCTCCTCCCTCCTCCTCCTCCTCCTCCTCCTCCTCCTCCTCCCCCTCCCCCTCCTCCTCTTCATCCTCCTCCTCCTCCTCTTCATCCTCCTCCTCCTCTTCATCCTCCTCCTCCTTGTCCTCCTCCTCCTCCCCCCCTGCAACTTGTGGTGGAGGTGGTGGGAAACAGGCCCATGATATCTCACTGCCCGATCCGGTGGTCGGCGCATCTCGTGACGATGAGGACGTCGCGTATGACCTCGGCCAGTCAGCCCTCGCAAGTCAGCCTCTCGTGAGTGACTCTCGGGCGAATGCCAGTCCACTGCGGGCCACGTGGGCAAGCAACTTTTCGGAAAGCCAAGGCGCACGCCGTCCTTTCCGGGCAGATCGCTCCCTGGGACGAGGAGGCAGGAAGAAGGACGAGGGAAGAGAGGAGGGGGCAAGGCAAGGACGGAGGGGGAGGGGTAAGGAAGGAGAGAGGGTCAAGGATGCAAGAGGAACTGCCTTGTTGGCTGTTCACGACACTCCCTGTCCCAAGCTTGACCGACCAATGATTGCACCCGGCCAACCTTATCTTCTCGCTACGCGTCGGCTGAAGCGCAGCTGTCGTCGCGCTCCAGTGCCGCCCTCCTGGGGAAGGACAACTCGCGGGCCCAGCTTCACGCACTGAAGCGCAGACAGCTTCACGCACTGAAGCGCCATGATGATTGCATGGATAACTTGTGAGAGCATGGCGTCAATGACTGAAATCTGCGACCGAGGGAACTGACCATAAGCAGTGTATCCAGCACCCATCCCTCGGCAAGTTGGAGCTTGACACAATGCTGATGTGTTGTCTGGTCACGCTGTCTGGTCACATTGCTTCCAAGGACCGACACCCTTCCTGTTTACGACCACCCTTAGACCCGCCCCTCAGGTTGGCGTTCACGCGCACTGTTCTGGCCCCCACACAGCTCCAGGACGACAAAAAGACCGCCACTGCACTATGCCGCCGAAGCTCACCCCTAGACGGCCCAGAAGCACCACAAGGAGCACCACCATGTTCCCAAGAGGCTCCCACGGTATGTCCAAAACGGATGACTACCAGGCGTTGAGCGGCGAACCGCCAAATAACAAAAAATGTAACACTATTAAGCGCAGCTTCAGCCATGTCTCTGCGTCACATCCCAGCAGGGAACCCCAACAAGCCCTCAAAACGACCAAATAGCTTCCCTTCTCCCCTGTCCCTCCCCACTCCTTATTCCCCCGTCCTCTCACGAACGACGAACAAACATCCAAATCCATGAATGAACTCGCGGTCTGGACACCGAGGCGCAATCCCGTGGATACGCGATCACATGGATATACGGGCTGTACAAGGCATCCGCGCAAAGTCGCCGTGCATCCAGGAGGTGTCGACAGACAAGTCATGACAGAAAGGCCGTAGATATGGACACAGCTTGGAGAACTGCGCGCGGATTCCTCGGT